ATTCTCATTCATTGATGAATGTAACTCGTCTCACAGCCCGTCTCTGTTGGATCTCGTGGAGATTGAGAAGAAACTGAGGGAAGCCAAGGCAGAGAGAGAGAAACTGCTCAGAGAGAGGGTGAGTCACCTGCCGTGGGAAACTCTCGCTGACACTTCTAATCACCCGCGGCACACTGCATTAGACACGGCTGTCTGATCACTGACACCCACTCAGCTCGCACATGATGGTCCAAGAAAACAGCCAGCAGATGTGTGGATGTTTGTAATGCATGTTTGCAGCATTGCCAAATGCAAGACTGAAAAATGTGTAGCCATATGATTGTGAGTTTATGTGGAGGTTGAAAAAAGAGGAACTTTCAGTGCATACATACATAATAGGTTCCACTGTAAATCCTACTTTGTTAGAACGGTATACACTGAAAGGGGTCATATGTTTTGGAGGATGACTAATAATTTTCAGTGACATGTGTGCACCCAGGAAGAGCGACGACAGTTGCTGTTGGAGGAGAGAAGACAGAGAGAGCTAAACTCTCCGAAAAAAGAACCACCGGAGCCTGAGACCCCACAAAGACCAGAGCCAGAACCAAAGGAGCAACCAATTGCCCGTTCTCCCCCAAACTCCCCAGAGGTATGAAATAAAAACCACAAAGCTGTTGGTTCAGCAGTTTAGTTCTTACCCTGAGTGATGGACGTTAAAAGAATGATCAAAAGCCATGCAGGAGACTTTGTCTTGTGTATTCCTCATTCTTCTTCTGTGCTAAGATTACCCACAATACAGTTCACTTCTGACCGTTTGGTTAGAGGTTTGAATGTGTTATGCTAGTAGTGGCTAGCCTTGAGCCCATACAATGTTTATAATCTGATCTGAAAGCTCTGTCTCAGACTCTCAGGTGTTACCATAATAATAGACACTGAATGTTACTATTGTTTCCTCAATTTCCAAGTAAAATCACCTGCCTCTTCTGAACCACATCTAAAATCAGTTTATCTCTCCAGCAGCGCAGTCTACCCCTCTTCCTTTCTCCCAACTTTGACCTCCGGGCCCACTTGGAGACTCTGGGTCACGGGGTGGCCGGCTGCACCGACCTGCGGTTGACACCTCGACGCTGTGCGGGCTTCCTGACAAAGCGAGGGGGGCGGGTGAAGACCTGGAAGAAGAGATGGTTCCTGTTTGACATGGACCACAGACGACTAGCCTACTATACAGGTTAGACTGGCTGGGAGAGTGGTGTGTGCACATCCTGACTGTGTGTTTACATGAATGAAAGCCTTCTGTTGTCACACTAGTTCACTGAAAGGAAGTCAGGCATGTTGTAAAATAACAATACATTAGTAGCATTATTTTCCAGCCTTTATCGTTTGTTATATTTCATTGTTCTGTCTGTATTTCCCAGCCAAAAGAAACAAGACTTTAAACTCATAATAAAGTTGCAGAGTAGTAATAACTTTTAGGACTTGAATAGATCCATCAAGTCTTAATAAGTATGCTGTCAACTAACTTGCTTCTTCCTTTGCTGCAGACTGTGATGAGAGGAAGCTAAAGGGAGTCATCTACTTCCAGGCCATAGAAGAAGTTTACTACGACCATCTAAGAACAGCCACTTCTGTGAGTTCTCATACAGTACATAAACTGACATAGAAAAATGTATCAAAGTCTGTAGAGTGTTTCATCCAGCTGAGAGTCTGTGCCTAATCTTTGAACATTGAGTTTGATGAATGCAGTAGCCTGGAGTCTTATGTACAGGTCAGTGTGGCCTAGTCATCACAAAAATCTTTTAAAAAGTTGATTGAGGCCTTTTTCACATTGTGTTTTAGGACTAAATGCATGGCCATCATTACACATATTATTAAATATACTGTTATATCTCAGGGTACATCTTCAAGGTCTCCACTTTAATCTTTTTCATGTTGTTTGATGTCTCCCTGGAAGTAAGAGCACTATTCCAACTCTAAGAATGTGATTTTACTGTGAATTTTACTCCCCATGTTTATGTTTATTGTTGTGTATTCACATGACAAAAAGTTTGTTTGATGTTGCTCCTTCTCCAAATCGTTGGACAGATTATAGACATGCCAGATTCTCATGGGATTAAAGACACAGATGATCTGTGCAGTTACTGTATTAGAAATCAAAGGCTGGTGTCGGGTACTGCTGAGTCTCAGCTCTTAAAGTGTCAGATGACTATAAGTTTACAATTACATTGCAATTACCATGGGAAAGCCTGTCATTTTCAGCATAAGGAGTTTGTATAATTGCTTAAATAAAACAACTAAACAATTTGTCTTCAGGACAATTACAGTTATGCAAAGTAGATAAGTATATTAACTCAAGTAGGCTGCCGTTCTTCAGTACAATTTTGAGGTACTTTTTACTTCTACTAGTTACTTTTAAATTAAGATTTTTAAATAATAAATCATAAAAAACACATGATAAGCTTATGAAATATAATGCATTATTAAACCAGTGTTTCACCAAAGACATATTTCCCCTCTAAAAGATTGATAATGGAGACTGTTAGAGGCCCAGAGAGGTGAAATTACCAGTATTTCACACAAAAAAGCCAAAAAAATGAATATATGTGTAGCAGAATGTTGTTTTTTTCTTCTGTCCTCTCCTACGAATGATCATCTCACATCTATCTGGGGATAGAGGGTTGGGAATCACTGGATTATAGTACCTAACACTGTATACATAGTAGCTAAAACTAGCTTCACCTGGACTATCTACTAGAGTAAAAGGTTGCTTATATAATGCTTATATACCGATGCATCAGTAAACAATTTAATAATGTGATGTACTGTATAATGATACATATCAGTCAGACTGTCTGTAGTAAAAGTACTTTTACTTTTGATACTTTGAGTACATTTAACTAATAATACTACACTAATAATCAGCCGGAAGAATGCAAGTCTCAACAGATCAGCAAAATCTTGAACAAATCAACCATCATTATGGAAAAAACCCTCACCCCTAATCATGACTTCTCACATTATCACTGTCTGTCCCTTCCCTTCAGTCTCCGCGGCCCAGTCTGACGTTCTGTGTGAAGACATACGACCGTCTTTTCTTTCTGGTGGCTTCCAATGCAGTTTCCATGCGGATTTGGATGGACGTCATTGTCACGGCAACAGATGAGCACAGCCGTTATTGACCTCTTGCATATGTAGACTGTAAAACCCTTGAGTGAAGCTACTGAGCGGACAATACCTTTTTAGTCATTTTCCCCCTTGTCTGAGGGGGCTGGTTTGACTGAGATCCACCTCAGGTTTCTGTACCTGGACTCAGGAATCTGTGGATAAAGCACATGGGACGTGAAGGTTTTGTGGTTCCAGGTGCCGAACAGATGTGCTTTAACGCAGCGGAGGAAACTGTTACTGAAAGAGGGATCCTTCAGTGGTGACAGAGGTTCGCCGCTGAACCAGCTGCAAACCACTAGCAGCCTAACACACCAGCCTGCTGACTGGGTGTCTGTTCTGGGAGGTTTTCACTCTTTGAGCCTGACATCCCCCTGCTGGGCACTGTCCAGCATTACAGGACTGGTGTACACTACACTACAACAGGCGGTGGACACAATAATAGCAACGCTTGTACTATATAATGTAATTCAATATTACAACCCAGTGATAAGAGAAATCATTTTCTTCGTGCTGTATTATGTGTTGGATTTCTTTATACTGTCAAGTGTTTCTACTAATATGTCCATATCCTGCATCTTTGTTTTCATAAATTACATTTTCATGAATTAAGTTATTTGGAAATTTATATGGGTTTTCATATGCAAATGAATGAAGACATACACTGTTATGAATGCACTATTAAATGTTTATTCATAAAAAAGTTTGCTTCAGTTTGCTTTTTGTCCAGTCTTCATTGGCAACATTAAATACTAAATAAAAAAAATTCAGTCTTGATGGATTCATAATTAGCTTCTAGCAGTCTTAAGATGTGTCAGTTTAAACATTATTTCAACAATTACAAGCCAGTGCTGCTGTGTCCCTTTCGTTCTCCTGATTACTAGGGACGGGGATCGAAACCCGGTTCTATCA